GTGTCGGCAATAGCCTGGCAGTCATCGCACAGGTTGTAGCCATCAATGGAGGAGCTAGCCATGGTGAACTGCCAGTAGCCCTCCTCGGAGATGGGCACATAGGTCAGGGCGCCGGAGTACAGGGAGGAGTCGGAGCCGCCGAAGATGAGCTCACCACCATCGGTGGAGGTGCCGGCGCGGGCCAGGTAGAAGGAGAACACGGACTGGTCGACCAGACCCTGGGAAACCATGTTGTAGAAGACAGGAGTAACGTCATCCACGGCCAGGGACTTGTAGGCCATGCCGAGGATGCCATCAAAGTTGGCATTATTGAAGTTGGTGCCAGGCTCGTTGGTGGACTCGGCAAAGGTCTGGCTGGTGACGCTCAGGCCGTTGACATCGACGGTATCGGTGGACAGGTAACCGGTGAGGCTGCCAGTTCCATACTGGATGGAGAAGGACTCGCCGTTGGCCACATAGGTGGAGCTCTCGCTGGAGTCGTACTGGTTGTGGGTCAGGCAGGCATCGCTCTGGCAGGTGTTGGAGGGCACCCACAGGTTGGAGGAGCCGGAATCGAACAGCACCTTGAAGCTCTGAGCTGGAGTACCGATGGAGATGGCTCCGTAGTAGGCCATGTTCATCGAGTTGGACAGCTGCTCCTCGTCAACGCTGCGGGCCTGGGGCAGTTGGTACTTGGTGCGCAGATACGACTTCTCGGCCAGCACATTCTCGCGGGTCTTCACGAAGTTCTGCTCCTTGAGGATTGGCACGCGATGCAGCTCGGCGCTGGCCAGGGCCACCAGCACCGCGATCACAGCGATGGACTTGAACATTCTCACTTGGCTTGTTGTCTACTCGAGTTCGACTAACTGACGATCGGAGCGCCCGGCCCTAATTTATAGCACTTGCCATCAATCACAGCCCAATTTGGAGGACGATAAGGCAATGTGATGTGACTCGAGTGGCCTGTCTTGAGGCGTTTAAGTCCAAAAGGCTTTATCTATCGATAATTATAATCTATTTGGTGGGCATATCATCACTTGAGGTGGGGATGAGGCGATGTTTTTCCCATATGTTAGATAACTCGCTTCTATAGAATTAAATCAGCAGAATCATATGCGCAATTGAAGGTATTTCAATTATTTTGTTTGATAAGTAGAAACTTTTGAGATTGTGTCTAGTAATGAACTTTGATCCCTATAGTTCTTAGTTATTATCAATTTTATGAGAGATATAAGATCAGTGTCCCCCATAATACATATTTTCCTTATCATTTATTATTATTATTATTGGTTCTGCGTATCGAAAGATAAGCCAATAATTTGGCGATAATGATAAGCAGGTGTTGGTCTATGGCTAAACCAAATATATAAAATAAAATAATTATATTATCATGAAGGATAAGCTAGCTATGGCACAGATATTAATACACTGTGCCGATACTTGATTTTATATTTAAACGTTGAGATTAGATTCAAGATTGAGATAATTAATGAAAATTAAAAATATATATACCATTCAAAGAGATACATTTCAATTCAATTGATTAATTTACAGAAATGCCACCATTTAATTGCCTTAACTCAGATGGAAACATTTTTGATACTTTGGCTTAACTGGCCACAAAATTTCCACGAAAGGCATTCCATTCCAATCAACTTGAGCTTTCCCTCAGCCAATTTTCTCGCTCGTATAAAAATATATATTTCGCTGTGGGCAGATAAAAGAAAATGCAGAAAGAGTCCAAACAGACTTCTTGTATTATTACAACACTCAAATCCTTTTTGAAATCAGATTTAAAATCAAATAAAATCCTTCTTCAATTGGCGCAACCTTAAGCGAATGCGGACAATGACGATTCATTTTGTGTGATTGCGCTTTACTGCCGGAGAAGGGAGTGAAAGGACCAAAAGGAGCTCGCGGGAGGCGCTCGTCCATGTGGCTGGTCATGTGTGGAGAACGAGTGCTCACTGTTCTCGGGTCCTGCGGGCAGCCACAGGTTAATTGTGGTGCAGGGCATCCGCTTATCGCTGGGTTCCTGGCCACACCACGGACGAAGACCAGGTCAGAGTAAAACGGAGGCATCCACGGGCGAGTGCGTTGCGCACTTTTGGGGCAAATAAGTAATCAACGGATTTCACGCTCCGTTGGCCAATTTTCGGGTGACTATTCTGGCACACGGGGCGTATGATTACCGATGGCAAAAGGACCTGTATGGCAGTGCGTTTGCGGTGACATTCATGTGCAATTATTAGGCGACGCATACATCGTCCGTGGTTGTGTCTCTGGCCCGGCTGTTTATCAATCATTTTTGATTTTTATGGGCCCGGGCGAGTGGTTGGAAATGGACTTGATTGTAGTCCGTAAATACATAAATAAAGTATACGCCGGGGTGACCACCACCGGTGAACTAACCAAAAAACCACTCGCCGGAATTGCGATTTTTTGAGTGTTTTTTTTTGTCTGTTTATCCTGCGTAATCGGGAATGGCTTTAAAGGCTTAGTGTTCCGAAATGCAAATACTATTTAACCGGAGAGGAAAAAATAATCAGCAAATATTTACCAATTGTGAATATTTGCTGAAGCGGTGAAATGGAATGCAAGCAAATATGCTTTTATTATGAAAAAAATCGGTTTCGGTCAGTGAACAATTCGCATTTGACATTCGCCCTCAGGTCACACCAGGATGCAGTGGGTGTCTTGGCGAGGAGTATCTCCTTCCGCCGATTGCATTTGCAGTTCGCCTGATCGCCGATGCAGCCACTCGTATTTTATGAACTCCACGCCGGAGGCACTCAAGTGCCAGGCGATTAATCTGGTAAAATATTGAAGTATGAAATAACAGTGGCAACGGAGGAGGTGAAGCTGGATAAGTTTATGCCATAACCGACGCGTGTCAGTAAACTTATAAATCGTATTAAATTTTTATTTTATGACAAGTGAAATATAGAGGTCTCTATTCAAGAATTGGTTCATTTTTTTCTTGAAACAAATCTATGCTGAAACACTTTAAGGTATCTAGTTTAATACCTTTTATTATTTTCCCGGCAACCCATACCTTTTTGTACTTAAAACCAACTGGCCAACAAAGTAGATTACATCCCTTAACAAACTGAATTACCAACATCAAAGCGAAATTATCAGCAATCCAAAATTTGACTACTTAATCTGGCATTAGAAATCCTGTCGAATATGTACCCATTTCAGGCCACAGTTTGACTTCATCCCGTCCAGCTCCCAAAAGCCATCAACCGGAATTGCCAACACACTTAACCAGAAACAGAACCAGCTCAGCTCAGCTTTTTGGCCACGGTTGTGGCCGTCACCGTCGCTTTACCCAAATCAAGTGCTGCCTAGTCAGCAGAGGCATTTGTCTAACGAGATACTTGACTTGTTCCCTCACCTGTCCACCATGCACTTATGCTCTTAGCTTGGCCAAAAAGCATTGTGGGTTGGTTATCTTTGGTATGTCAGCGACACCCAAAAAAAAAACTTGTTTCTAACAATTTTCTGGCTCAAAGTATGCAAAACTTCTACGAGTACGTCTTTTAAAAATACCTATAATCTTTGGCTTAGAATAAATTGTCTTCTAATCGGTTTTCGTATCAAAAATGGTAACAAAATGTAACCCAATTTCTACTCCTTTCTGCTAATAGCTTTTTTCGGGGTGTAGCACCAACGGATTGGATTTAGGTTAGGCGACGTCCGGTGGGTGCAGCCTGGACAGAAGTGTAACACGAGAGTCAGACATTGAAATTGCATTGCGTTGATTATGGCCAACAACAAGACACACACACACAGCACACACAACACACACACACACACTGGCCCCCGGCTTCTGAGGGCCGCCTGCCCGCTGCGTTGGTAACTGAAAAACCTACTTACGGGGTCGGCAGGCGGGTGGTGCTTCTTGTGGTGGGGCAGACCTGGCTCTGGAACCGGGCTCACGACTCTGCAAATTGAATTTAGGTCATTCAATCCCAATGCCAGGGCCAAGAATTTAAGCCTATGTATTTCCCCAGCATCCCCAGCAATCAAAAAACATACCTCCACGTGCTTTAGTGCCTCTACCCTATGGGAGATGCCTTCTAGTGGGGTATATTTGGATTTTGAGTGTTTGGACATAAGAGATTATATACTAAGATCAAGGGTATATTAAGTATGCATAATTATTTACCCAATTAAAAACTTTCCGAATTAAAATTAATTAATTTTTGGTTAAGTAATAATCAATTTTCCATGTGATTCAATCGCAAAAAATCCCTTATTTGTTGTTTATTTAATTCCAGCTCGTTTCTTTGGCAGCTTATGATAAGTATTAAAACTTAACCACTACCAATATCCATATGTACCTCCCCAAATAATTCTAAAATACCTTTAGCTTAATCTCCTCAATCAATTAAATTACGCCTTTGACCTCCCTAAAAATGGCCTAAAAAATGTACTAATCTTTCCAGTACTTATAATTTCCGACCTTGTGACACTTATTAGCTCTCCCCCATTATTTAATTAGCTATACACTTAATCCCACCATCGTTGACATTTAAAAACGAATAAATTGTCACTAATTTTACCAAAAGCCAGGTAAAAGGAAAGCATAATAATTAGGGGAAATTATAGCCACGACAACGGCCACTTTTAGTTGCATTAAATTTTAATATACATATATACACCCAAGGAAAATTATATATATACAAGGGAGGGAGAGGGGAAAGGGGAAATGGAAAACCGCTCCTGCCGCGTTGTAATTGGATGCTTATTGAATTAGTGACAAAGTCAGTTGGATTGGGGGCGAAGGATTCTGGCACCGGAAGGAGCTGCGGTTGCTGATGCCAAGGAGCTGGCAACACGCCGGGTTCCTCTACTCGCTGCCATTTTAGATATTCATCAAATTATTCCTTTTGTCAAATTAAGCAAACAAGCCCCACGCAGCCGGAGACAGAAGATTGATTTGGATTTGTGTTGGCAGACATTTGATTTTGCCCCCTGATTCTGATTCTGACCTGAGCGTGTCCCCAGTTCGGTGTCCTTGCGGTGGCTTTGTGTGTGCTTCTGCGATGCCATCTTAACTGATTACACGACCATGGCCAGCGAACATAAGCCGACTAAATGTCCACAAAACTGGCCAAAGCAATCACGACGGCGCAGGTAATACCACTCATCCTTCGATTCCGGTGGTTCTGGCTAATGGAAACTGCTAATAAGTTAAGGACATGGTCAGGGCACTTAACTGCGTGAAGACTTGGTGGAGAAAATGAACTTTTCTTGTTCGTAATTCGCCAAGTTTCACCCAAGTGCTGAGGGTCTAAACTTTGCAACATTGCTATCAATTAGACTCGGGCATTAATCCCTCCAGATATCAACAAGTCACAACTTTGGCAGTCTGAAGTGTTAAAATCAAAATATTGGAAAGCAAACAATATATGACAATCAATCAAAGCAACAATATCTGCCGTCGATTAGATTGTTTATGACTGGAAATTGGTTAAGCTGGCTATTACCACACTTTACGGACACTTTATAACACGCGACGTCAGCACTTCAGTCTCAACAATCAACTTTAATTCTATTTCTATAGGCATAAGGAGGAGATTTCATCATTATTGGGCTTTTACCAGGCACAGAAAAAAAAACCCAAGGAAAGTGCAATACTTTTGATTAGAAAAGAGAATACTATTCCCCTGATATTTTATTAATATATTTACTGCTTAGAACATCTCTCATATATTTAATTGACCAAGACACATGCTCGTAAACGAATTATGCCGCACAAACTATTCCCGCCTAAAAGGTCACGTCGTCGACCACTATAGTAATTATAACTGTTAACCTATGATGGTTATATACCATTAAAAAAAGAAACTCAAAGAAAACTTGTTTCTCA